AAAGGAAAATCGAATAAAAAAAAATATAGTGAAGCAAACAAGATTCGAATCAAGAACACGAAGAACATCATGGCACTATTCACATATTCAAAGTTTCAAGTCTAAACTTTTGAAGGCTATAGATGCATTAAAATATACCAAAATCAACCAAGAATTAGTACAACGTACCTAGAAACTTGCAAATTTCAAGTTGGACGTTGATTCGGGTGGATTTGGTGTGTGAAATGATGAATGTGAAGATGAAAAGGATATGTGTTTTGAGAAAACCTTCTAAAAGCATATAGCTATGGTGGAAGTGCTTTTGTGAAAATGAAAGAGACTTCTTGGATATTTGTAATATCTAGGGTTTTTAACGGATAGGAAGTTCAAAAGTCCCTCCAATTTAATTGGTGTCTTCCTAAATTCCTACCCGATTCAAAATTTAATAACGTGCAAGGCAAGCGAGAAAGAAAAATCTCAAATTTCAGAAATTGAAAGGTTTTGGGTTTCAATTTGCTTACCTCTACACCAATTCCGAGCTAAGCAACTCGGGGGGCAATGTTTAGGGGTAGTAGAAATCCATGCGGGCACGAGAATTGGTCAGGCTAGAGCTGAAGGAACAGATGAGCAGATTTGGAAATAGCTGGGCAGCTGTTGGAACAGAAGCTTGCAAGGTGCAGCCGGGCTAGGAGTTCAAAATCTGGCCTGGGCTTTGAAGCTTGGAGGCCATAGCAGTCCGAGCCTCTCAAGATTGCGGCTGGATGGAACTAGTTGGGCACAATTTGGCAGCCGGGCCTCTCAAATGCAAAAATGGGCAGCAAGGCGTCTGGGCAAGGCCAGAGAAAAGGGAAAGGGACCTTGCGAGTTGCGGCCGGTCAGCTCAAATGGAGTTGGAAATCTCGGCCGGAATTGGAGAAGTTCGCAACCGAGATGTTGAAGCTTGGCGGTCGCAATAATTCGGGCTGAGTAAAGTTGCGGCCGGAGATGCACAAGTGGGATTATTTCGGGTGGATAAATATGCGGCCGAGTTTTTAGTTTTGAGAAGATGCGGCTGGGATATTTAATATCTTTGCATATTGGGCTGAAAAGTCTTTGTTTATTATATATATATATATATATATATATATATAAAAG